TTCGTTACCTGTTTTTAAATTCATGATAATCTTGTTCTCCACCCGAACAGGATGCTGGTCTTGTGAAGCGGGAAGATCTTCCAAAAGACTGTTTTATTGTGTATCAAGGTGCGTGACTATTTGCGACCTTTTTTTGTGTAAATTGAGCGTGTGCTACTTGGCCTTGATCTTGTCAAGTCCCCACCCCTCTCCCGCAGTTCTAACTGACCTTGCCGCTGCTCGTTTCAGGTCACCATGGCGACCATGGCGCACACATCGCTGACGTCGTCCTGCCCGGTGCAGCGTACACAGAGAAGACCGCCACTTACGTAAACACAGAGGGGAGGGCCCAGCAGACCAGGAGGGCTGTCACGCCACCCGTGTACGCGCGTGACGATTGGAAGATCATCAGAGCGCTGTCAGAGGTGAGATTCTAATATTTAGCCCAGTACATCTCTTCTTTACTCGGTGGTCTAATTAAATCGAACTTTGTTCCGCTGGAAACAGATCGCGGGTAATACCCTTCCATACGACAACTTAGAAGAAATCAGACGAAGACTCTCCGAGCTGTCTCCGAACCTGACTCGGTATGGTGACGTAGAGGAGGCGAACTTCTTCAACTTAGCTCTGGGTTTGATGCAGGTAAGAGTAATAGGTAACTACGAGTGATCAGCACCTGTAGACTATAATCAAGAATCACTGAAATGACTCAGCTTTGGCGCCGTTACTTCTATATTTATGTTCTCGAGATCGATATCGTGTTGATGCAAAGGTCAGTGGCTAACACAATTTTTCCTACTGTTGACGAACGTGTTCACCCAGACCTTTTCGCCGTTAGAAACGCGTGGAAAGAGAATTTCCCGCCACGGGAAAACGGCGGTAAAAAGGTTTTCCCGCCAGAGAAAGACGCGCACAAGTGAACAGTCAATTCTGATTGGTTAGTTTAAATATTGCTGGATGCTGATTGGTTAGTCTTCTCCATGTGAATGTCGTGTTCCTTCTCTCTGTTCATGTGTACAATTTATTTGCTGTTATTGAGCCGTCTTTTTCTTTTTTTTTTTTTTGGCAACTTCAGGGCTCTAAAGCACAATCGTTGAAGCAACCCCTGCAGCCAAGTATTCTGGAACTGAAGGATTTCTACATGACGGACGCCATTAGCCGTGCTTCGCAGACCATGGCTAAATGTGTAAACGCTGTACAAACAATGAAGTGAAAGCTGTGGAGAGAAAAAAAGAAGAAACTACCAATTTGTAAATAGGCCGTTTGAGGAAGCCATTTACACGCCGCCAAGACAAGCACTGTTACAGTAATTGATGGACTTTATAATTTTCTGTATCAAAATGGTTTCCGTCGTAGGCTTGTAAGAAATAAAATATATGCGTCAATCATTAGGCAATAAGAGAGCCTACCACAGACAACCAGAGATGTAGCCTTTAGATATGACTATCACGGAAAATACATTTTATAAAGTTGTCCATTTTTTAAGTGCTTGGAATACCTATTCCAAATATATGCTTCGTGTTCAGACAAGATGAAAGTTGAGTATTTCCAACCAATTGTGAGACTACGTTGAATAAATATTTCAATTGTTATCAAAGCAGCCAAGAACAAACTCAAAGTTCTTAAAGATTAGGAGCGCTACAATTCTACGAAAAGTCATTGTTCGGAGCTGAAAATGTTTCACATTCAAATCCCGATTTAAACGAAGCATTTGGTAACTTAGTAAACTGGCGGGCTGTGTGTAAAATTGAAGAGTTGTTATAGTCTGTCAGATTATTTTTGTATAGTTTCATTCGTTTACACGAGTGATGGTGGCAGCATGTAATAAAATGAGTTAAGTCGTATGTGATTACGTCTTTTTTGTAGGAATCTTATCTCAAACTTATCGTGGGAGGCGCAGCTGGCCTTATGGTTAGTGCGTTCGTCTCTGGATCGTACGGTCCGGTTTCGAGCCCTGGCCAAGGACATTGTGTTGTGTTCTTTGTCTGGCCTGAAGAGCCACTTGGCTCGCATGCAGACTTAACCTACCTTATCAAACATTCTGCGTATTGAAATGGGAAATAAACACAGCCTGAGAAATATTGATGAACGCAAAACGTCGTTAGGAATTCAGTTACGTTTGCGGAGTTTTTCAAGCCTTTCTTAAGCGATTATATAAAATGTAGACTTCGGCCATCCCTGGCATTTTCTCAGATTTCATTGACTAATAATAACCCACCAAGGATTAAGGATGGAGAAGATAAGCGCTGACCAAAAACATCGCGGCCTCTGGTGACGAGAATGATTTATCTCGTAGGGCAATCTCGTACCTCGTACCTCGTACCTCACTTTTTGGTCGTGGGAGATCTTGATTCGAGTTTAGAAAACGATTGCATAGATAACAGAACCCACGTTTCTTTTGAACACGTGGCCTGGACACGATAAGTGTGGCTACACCCGTAATTCATCATATCCCAACACATCTCGCGAATGTGATTCGAAGAGGAATAAACGCCTTTTTGCGTTCTTCCAAGCTGATTTTGCAGAAGTGTGAAGAGACCATATTCTGTACTAATTTGGTTTGGTTCTGCTCACGCGTTAATACATATAGTAACGTTCTATTCTCGCGCTCACGTGTGCGCGGTTGAGCTAGTTGGATTTCTATTCCCGTTCGTGGAACGTCTTCTTCGGAAGCTACGTATGTAGAAACACACTTGAAAAGTTCAGCGAGTTTCGTTTTGTCGAGCACGAATCGGCTGACCTTCGCTTCACGAATCGAGCGATGCAATGTAAAATTATCTTGAATATCGCGCGCGCAGAACTGAATCACAGGAGTTGATTACTTTACGTCACAGTCAATCAGTCACGTTGTTGGCGAAGCCCTTAGACGTTTAAGAACTATTCAGTATTCCTACCGTCGATCGCGATGTAGTTTAATTTTTTCGTTAAAATTAAGCCTGGCAACTGGGCAAGTTGCCGACTATGATGTGACTTAAAAATGATGTCGCTCTATTCCAAGACGAGGTAGTTTTAGCTTCTTTGACGCGAAGAGCTTTCGACAAACATGGCGTCCAACCGAAAAGACATTAATGACACTCGTTGCAAAACGTGTGGCTTGATACAACCGTGCCCGTGTGATGCGGAAAAATCCATTCATGATGCGGATAAAAGAGAGAAGGGAGTGGAACAACCGATTATCATTATCAACAAAAGAAGACTATCCAAAGGCAGGAGGCATTCTTTTCCTGAGCCAGGTGAGATGATAAAATGCGTACTTATTAGAAATAGGTAAAGGTAGGTTACGTCTGCATACGAGCCGCAGGTGGCCCATCAGGCCGGAGCTTATCTCAGTTCCTGTAGCATAAGGCGACTAGTAGTATTTCTTCTCCTCCATGTATGGGATGCTAGTTTATCGCAGGGTTAAATTAGTCCCCAGCATTAACATCTGGGTGGAAAGAGGCACTGCGAGAGTAAAGTGTTTTGCCCAAGAACACAACATAATGTCCCCGGCAAGGACTCGAACCCGAAACGCTCGATCCGGAGACGAGCGCGAACCACGAGGCCATCACGCCTCCCTGTCTATCTATTAAAAGTGCTGCACCTTACATGCGTGTCACTTATATTCGCGTACAAAATATATGAGTGCAAAACAAAACAGAAAAGGTATTATTTTTGTGTTCTACAGCACAACATCAATTAATTAATGCGCAGATTTAGACTTCAGGCATGGCATCCCTGAAAGCAAAAAACGCTGGACTTTTTCCTTTGAAATGAGTTTTCGCCACGAAATAATTCAAGTACAATGAAAAGACGAAAATAGTTGCCTCAAGGAATAGCATCATTGTTACCGGCTTGCTACTAGCCCAGAAATAACAGACCAACACTGAGGTCAGAACTTCTCCGAGTTTTTTCCCCTTCAAGAGAGCTAAGACGGAACTGCTCGTCTAGTCGCCAAACGCAGAGCAAGAACGTGAGGGATTTTTAGAAGTTTTTGAGTTTGTTATTGTGAATGAACAATTATAGAATTGTTAGTGCCACTGTACATATTTCTGCCGTTTCTTAAACTTTTAGCTTGATACACGACCCCACAAGCAAATCTGCTTCTTTAAACCAAATTGTGTTTTAATCAAGGATTGTTGTTCAGTGTTGTTGCCAAATGGCGACAGTTGGCGTCCACGGCGGACTGTACAACCAGAAGCAAACTATTTTAATCTTCATCTGACTTGCCGTTATATTTTCCTCAAAAGAAAACTTCCTTATTTAAAGGAAAAACTTATAAATATTGTCTCATCGCTTTTAGATAGTCTTAGCAGAACTGTTTTCCTTATTAGGCGTTGCCGCGTATCTTGCTTTTTGTACTTTTAGACTCAGTTTCCAACAATTTGCTCCAATGCTTGGTTGGTTAAAAAAAATGGCAGCTTTCTTCAGCACCAGTGATAATCTAACCAGTTATTTTTGTGATATTTGAAGACGTTTATATTTGCAGGTCTCCACGGAGGTAATGAACCTGGCGAGGCGCGAGGCCGCCCGTCCCAGGACCAACAATCAACAGTAGAAACCCTAACAAGACATGCTAACCTGCAGTCTTCGCTGTCTACAGCCTCGAGAGGAGGCAGAGCTCTAACATACCTCAGAGACATCTTCGCAGCTAATCCAGACAACAAGATGGCGCTGAAACTGTTCGGGAATAAAGCTGCCGTTCTTATTGAACAGCGCCGGCAAGAGCAGAAGGGCAAGGGAGTGATTCATCCTTTCAGCACATTTCGATGGTACTGGGATATCCTCCTAATCTGTTTTATTTCCATGCATGTGATTCTTCTCCCAGTCAGCATTTCGTTCTTGAGTGACGATCTTTCACTGCACTGGCTCATCCTAAATGGAATCTCCGATAGCATTTTCCTCATAGACATTTGCTTGAATTTTAAAACCGGAATTGTCGATCCTAACAATCAAGAGGAGGTGATACTGGACAAGAAAGTTATCCGCCGGAAGTACTTACGAGGCTGGTTTTTGATCGATTTGCTCTCGTCACTTCCGTTTGATTACGCGTACTTTATCGTGTCATCTTCGTCGGCGGAGCAAACGCTGATCAAGGCATCGCGGGCTCTTCGCATCCTCAAACTTGCCAAGTTGTTGAGCCTTTTGCGACTTCTGCGTGTTTCGAGACTGGTGCGATATATCAAAAGATTTGAAGAGGTAGGGCACATAGCAGATGGCTACATAGAAGATTGGTTGATTTTGTCCTGTCAGTTTTCAACCTTTTAAAACGTCAAACTGTAACTTAAAATCAGCTAGGAGTAAAAATCGCTAAATAAAACAACAGCTATCATTAACTATGTATCCCAGCTTGTTAGTGTGAATTGATGACCTTTGAAAAATTGGGCCAACGAAAATTAAAGGAACCTACAGTTAAGAAAATAACAGAACAGCATGAGAAATATTTGGAAGCTAAAATTTTACCATGTTCAAAAACTAGTTTTCATTATGATCACTTTTA